GATCAAAGCGTTACGGCATCTGCACTGTTAGAATGCCGAGAAATTAATTCTTCTTGTTGCATTAATAGAATTGACAAAGCTAAGCAAAGTGTTTGAAGATTTCTCGAGGGAAATCAATGAGATATGTAAAATTGAGATCGATGCTCAAGCGCAGGGAGAGAGATATCATTTCAAGTGAGGGGACCTTAGAGGCTTCTTGAATTGAGCTTTTTATCTTTGAGTTGTTTATGTTAAAATGTGAGCAATGCCGATACACTTTCTCCTTTTCAAGTTATTTTCTTGATTATCTTGACAGTCTGAGTGTGTTCCCGTCATCAATTGATTTGCTTTTGAAAGTTGGATCTTTCCTGTTTCAAAGAAACTGAACAGAATGAAACAAAAAAATTAATTGATTGTTTTCTGTTTTATTTTGTTCTTGCAATTATTTCATGCATTGCCAATGGTGATTATTTCATATTGAAGTCTGTCATCGTTGTAATTTTCAGTAATATTTATTGACCTATTCTGTGTAATACTCCTAATTGCTTGCTGAACTTTTTTGAACTTTATTAGAAAATGTTAGGTACGCAGAGCCCTCATAGCAGTTGCAATAACTAACGATTAAGGTTATTTTGATGAAATAGAACTATTCTATTACCAAAGTAAAATTTCATTCAATACCCAGTAATTCACCTGTCCCAATGTTACTCTCTCAGAAGGTATCGATGGCGTATATCTTGATGCTCCAGATTCGTTTAGAATAAGGAAATACCGTCCATTTAAATTCCACATTGCCGTCATTTCCTCTCCATTCTTACTGAGACATGACAACAATCAAAGAACTGAGACATTCACCGAGAAATTGAGGGCCCTTTGTCTATTTCAAGTCGTTTGTAATTTCATCCGGTGTTTGGACAAATTGTGGAAAACAACTTCTCCGCTATAGTTAACCTGACACCCACTCAGTCGCTGGGCTAGGGAGCAACACGACAAAAAATAATAATAAAACTCACCTAAGGACAGGGTTATAGGGAAAAGCGCTAGGGATGGCTTCCATTTCCATCAATGTTGGCAGTTCTTTGTTTGGGAAGATGCGAGCGTTTTCCCGTAATTCAATCTGCAAGTCAGTTACCGACATTCCTTTTTATAAGATCTAAAGGATAGCTGCCTATTCATCGATGTTTATCACATTGAATTCACTGTGGAGAGGAAAAGTACAGAGTGTTATGACATGGCGTAGCGTGTCACGCAATGCATTCATGACTGCCCAGCGGAGGCCTCCATGAATAAACACGGCGTCCGTCCGCCAAACCAGCAATTTTGTCTTTTTTAAAAGTTGTATAGACAAACAACAACGAAATATTGATCTCCTGCGTTGTCCTTGAATAACACTCTGTATTATATGTTTAATTTAATTGTTGATGAAGTCTGCAATGATTGGATGCCGAGGTGTGCACTGAGGTTTTCCTTGATTTTTTTTGGTCAAGTCCCATGAACATTTAACGGTGATCCTCGCTCTTCTTCACACCTTCCAGAAACTCCAAGCTCGCGATCAATTCGCTAAGCATTCAAATAAAAATCATCCGAGGGCCACGATAATTTTAAGTGGTATGTATTTATGCTTAAAAATGGACGGTGTTCAGTTGCACTTTTTAGGGAGCATACTGCAGTCAAGACAAGTCTTAGTTATTGTGAAATAAAGTACATGTATGAGTCCTGTACGGTGATAACATCGCTGCTAAGTTTGTAATGTATACTCGGTTTAAAATCAAGTTATACATATGCGGATGTGTCCCCGAGATGTACAGTTTCTCCCGGAAACTGTCCACAGGGAGTCGTGTGGTCCTATTAACTACTCCAAGATTAATGGTTCTGTACCATTCTGAGCATTACTACTACACATCGAAGACTGTGTTTTATCATCTGTGAGCAACCACTCGTCCAAAAATATTGATTTAAGAGTCATTAGTCTTGAGACAAGACCCGCTCAAAATTAATAAAGAACTAACACGCTTGACACTGGAGATGTCTGATGTGATTTTTTTCCTTCTAATGATCAACTGATGAAAGGTGTTTGAGAAGGCGACGGTCGTTTTTATTTCCGTTGAAGATTTAGCCGGGACGGAAGTAAAGCGCGGGGAAATAAAGTTACACTAAGTAACTGCATTTATGTTTTAGGTTAATTAGCGAGAGCAGGACAAAATGTGGGGACTTAGGAATGAAGGCAATGAATGTTTACAAGCAGTTTTCATTTTTACCACTTTGCGGCCAAGGAATAAATCAGAGTTCTGTTTTTACTGGTGATGATGTGTCACAACAAATTAGTGTATATAAATTAAAATTAGACAACTTGGTGTACAGCGTTTGAAAAAAAAAAACCATTACTGTATGTACGTTTGCACATGTATCATACTTAACATGTAAACATTTGTTGCTTGACTATTGACATTAAGTGGGCTGCAATAAGTTAATAGTAAAGTTTTATTGGTGGAGTAACACAATACACTTTGGGCTTTTATATTTTTAATAAGAAAATAAGTTGGTGTTAGTTCCAAGCCTGTCTCAGGGGGAGATCCCGGGGTGGGAGTTGCTTCCTTACCCCCGGCTACGCCACTGAATGACAATAACTAGACAAACTTGCTTCTTGCGTTGTCACGTAACGATTCTCACAAATGACTTCAAAGTCATGAGTTGATCTGAATTTCTCTCGATTTGTGATTATGAAACAAGTTGCGGAGACGGGAGCTAGTTGCAACATTATTTTTTAAATCAAGCGCCCGACATCAAACAAAAATACTTCGTCTTTCGTCCAGAGGAGTCTTGGTGTGTCTGCTATAACAAGGTTGCCAAAGCGTTTTAAAATCGAAGAAATCATTCAAATGTAAAATCTTTCTAACATCTGCTTCATCAGGTCTTGTTGTTATCGGTGTGTGTTCTTCTCCAGCGCAGGTTATATCTCAAGGGTAGCTTCAATGTATATTAATGCATCCTTTAAAATGCACCTTTTGTTGAAGTTAACCTTAATTTCAACTTTTTCACTCTGTCAAAGGATATATTATTGCCTTTTTTGTTTTTATGCTCATGATTATTTCCATATTCATGAGAAAAACTGTGATGTCTTTCCAGGAAGAAAGCGTCAATGCTACTTTGGTGTGTACACAAAAAAATCGTTCCTTTTTTACAGATTTTGCTGGACCAAAGTTTCTCTTCTTTGCTGATTCATTGCTGTTATAGTTCATAGCACATAAACGAAGCATCAAGCATCAATCTCTTTCTGAGAAGTGTTTTCATTAAGTAAGTCATATATTGAACAGAAAACCAACGCACTGAAGTATGGCTTACCTGGACATCACAGCAATAGTGTCTTTAGTTATTAAGGAAAATGTGGTTATTTTTCAGCGGTTAGAAAGTGCGCTCTTCATTGCATTTAATCGAAGAGGAGTGCAAAAGAGTTCTCATGCATTTAAGAAGACTACAAAGTTGTAACAACTGTATCAAACACATTGCAGCTACACTTTAAGTAGCTCAAAAGGGATATTCCAAAAAATGCGCTCTGAGAAAAACAGGCCTTGATATCTACTTCAGCATCAGATCAAGACCGTGTGTTATGTACCTTGTTCAAATACTCGTTGATTGTTTTGCTAATATTTACATACGGTATGGTATGTTCGGCGTTCGATCTTGATATGTAATAATAAATGAGGTGGAGTAATATCTACAGGTAAAGTCCAAATACACGTCACGTAGACAGAGATGTGGCAATGTAGCGTAACTTGAGGGAGATCCTCTTCTAACGACTTTTACTAAACAGAAATTACATTCTTGCATACAAACCATTCGTCCTATCATTTGTTTAAAAAAATGCAATTAAACTTACTCTTGAACAGATTAAAATTCAGCACATTATTGCGTCCTAATGACTAAACAGATAATGAGACATTTTGTTTCTTCACTGCGAAATTGTTCCTTTTTGGTTCACTTGCAAATAATGCACATTACAATGTCACGAGTACTGTGTTTTTTCAGTGATTTTTTTTTGTTTATTTTACAGTTTTTGATTCTCCATTAAACACAAATTTCCTTTAGAAATGGCCTGGAAATTACCACATATCAATCACTGCTTTTTTCATATCCCCTAGGATATCAAGTATTCCAGGGAGAGGTGTAGGAACAGTCGTTTTCCGTCCCTTGTGGAACCATTCAACGAAACTATTTATTGTGGTTTTTTTTAGATGTTTTAATGACTGTAAACTTCCGGCTTCAGACCATTCCACCTTAGGCCCGGCCAGTTTGACTATAACGCCTACAGGGAGTTACGTATACTAGTGGCGCAGCTTCATTAGAAATAGTCGATCCCCATAGTTTTGTGCTACTTCTATATAGTTGGTCTTATCAGAGACAGCATCTACAAATGTCACACATTGCCCCCCAAATGCGGTGCTCTGCCAAAAATGCAATGGTGTCAATGCAACACCGAAAACACATATGCAAAGCCGAAAAATAATGCGACGCTTAGAGAAAGCAGGCCTTTGGCACATATGAAACACCGTAGTGTCGTACATAACATTTGACACATACATGTACCTTCTATGCCAGTGAAGAATTCTGTGGGTGAAGATATGCCTGTGTAATTTTATCACCACAAACGCGGTGGATAAAATGAGATATAGTTTTTATCTTGGTAAAGTACAGGGGCAGACAAAAATCTTACTCTCGCCCTTTAAAACATTTCGTGTAGGTATACTGTGTTTTCGGAAGATTCACTTCTTCGATCTGTCATCTTTATACATAGGCTGGAGAGCAAATAAACGTGCACGCTTGAAGCGGTCATGTAATGCATAGTGGGATAGAGCATCGTTTGTTTCGCTATCAAAGCTCTCGTCTAGCGCCACTCTTCACCGCCCGAAATTAACTCAGATCCCGTTCTTTACTTTCCACTTGCGCCGTCCCGAGCCATTCTGGATTGTATCATCAATTTTGCTGTCACTAACGATCTCGTTTTATTCTCCCATTCCTGATAGGTTCGCCTAGTGGACAGGCCTGGATGGAATCTGGTGGGCGGTGTTTGGACCACAGGTATAAATAGCCCGTATGATGTGCTGAATACTGATTATGTGACAGCACGGCTGGTTTCTGGTCGCTAGGGGAAGCTCAGTCTAAAATCCTTCCAGGCCGACCAGGCGTCGTCACGCGTCATGAAGCCCCAGGAAACGTGATTTCGAACATTATCTTCAACGACTCGTAAATTGCAAATGAGCCTGGCGTTTGTGCGGATAAGGTGTTCAAATAAACCACACTTCAGCATGGTGGTGTGGGGAGACGTATGACACATCTAGGGTCGGTGACGACACTACACAGAGCGTCATCAAGTGAGATGTCATTAGATCGGTGGGCCGTGGTGATCGAGACAACGAGTAACAGCTTCGCGAATCGGACACTTTGTGCTTTTTGACTCTCCGCATGTATGTTTGGAGTTTGAGTGCAGACCTTGCCCGTCATACCCTTGCTGTCCCAAGCAGAGCCTGCATAGGCAGCTTTAACCATCGCAAAAACGACGCTTTCTTCTTGGCTGTATAATAAACACGCATTTCTAGACGCAGACGACTAGACTGCAAATGATGCCTAGTGAAATCTACACTTTAAATCAAGTCAATCTGAAGCTCCATGCTGTCAGAACAACATACGGATCGCAATGAGCTTTACATCTGCAGCAGCACATTCATCGCAGACAACTACAGGGGCAAGTTTTTCACCGACCACTGTTGCAAGCGGCGTGGATGACGGGAGTGTCCTGCTCATTTCATCCGCGGTTATCCTGTTGTTGTCGGTTATCTGCGGCATCGTCGGCAATGTTCTCGTGTGTGTGAGTGTGTACCGAAATCGCAACCTCCGGACAGCCAACAACGCCGTGCTGGTCAACCTAGCCGTGGCCGATTTGGTGGTATGTTTCACCGGTATACCAATCATGCTGGCCGAGGTATTCAATAGTTTCTCTGACTGCCATCCTTACGGTGGCATCATTTGCCCGGTTCAGACTTTCTTCCACGTTACCAGCAGCTCCGTCCAGCTTGTCACACTGGTGTCTATCAGCTTCGAGAGGTACGAAGCAATCGTACGCCCCTTTGAGACCAAGAAAAAGCGCCGTCGGGTGATAGTGGGCACCACGTTGTCCTGGATCATGGCTATCGTCATTGCTGTACCCGCTTCTGTTCTCCTCAAGAAGTCCTCATTATACCTGCTATGCACATGTCAACTCCACGAGCAACCATCTGACTATGTCCACATTCTAATCATTTCCCCCCTCGGCATTGGGTGTTTGGTGTGTGTGGTGCTTTTTTATCTGAAAATTTTTCGGACAGTACGTAAACACGTCAAAGAGAAACACCAGTCGCGTGATAGCTACTCTGGTGAGACGAGGAGGACAGAGAAGAGGTTACAGAATTTGCTACGATCATATTGTTGTTGCTGTTGCAGCCGGACCAATGTCGTCGGTGCAGTGTCCGACCTACCGGGGCAACCGGTAATAGCAACCAACTCTACACCCCCAACTCGCAATATGATAGACAGACCGTCCGTCAGCGGGTTGCAGAGTGTACAGAACTGGGCAGATAACAGAATAAAAGACACAAACGAAGAAAGCTACGGAGGGAGATCGTCTCCCAACAATCCCGTAGGAATCGGAGAGCAAGCGGAGCGAAGTGTATCGCCCGATACAGGCGTAGGATCGTTTGGGGCACCCCAGGAGAACACAGATAGGAAGCAAATTGTGAGTGCGCGCCAGGATGACCCAGTGAAAGGCCCTGCGAGCAACACTCTGCAACCGAAGGCGTTGGTAATCGCCATCGTTCCAGCTACTCCGTCAGGCGTCAGCCCGTCTGCGGAGGAGAGACCCCAACTGCCTGACATGGCTAGCCAGCGGGTTTCCGTTCAGGAGAATAGCGCTAGCCGACGTAAATCGGGCGACATCCAGGGCTCCGTCTGCGTCCTGAACCCCGAAATGCGCATCAGGGGACGGCGGAATCTGGAAGCTAAGACAGCCAAGAGGGCCTCCTACATCATCGGCGTCTTCAGCTTGTGTTGGCTGCCGCTCTTTGTCATGTCCTATGTTGAATCAAGGACCGAGGTGGATGTTTTTGTGACTTGTATCGCCACAATGAGCGCTGCCCTCAATCCCATTGTCTACACAGTGGTCAACAAGTCCTTCAGGACAGAATTCGTCAAGATATTCCGCAAACTAACTCGGTGCTGCCCAGAGCGATGCAAGTGGCTCCCCAAACCATAAAGGTGCCCACCACTTGTTCTGGCGTCCCTTTTGGATTAATGACATTGAAAAGTGCACTTTTTAAACATAAAATGACCCATGCCTTCCCCGACAAAACGAGGGCGTTGCTGCTATAGGTTGTCATTTAAAGAAGATAGGTTTATTTATTTTTTTGTCCATTTAAAGTTACTCACTGACAAAATGTTCCTAAAGGTTTACCTCACTGGCCTACCGTCATAGTTTTAAACAACATCAAATAACCAAAGAACACAATCATCAAACGTGATATTTCAAGTATTGGCAAATGGCTGTGCTAAATTAGAATTCACACCGAGTTTTTTCCTGGTATGGCATCACATTTCTACTCAAACTATAATTACGTACGTATCAAAAGGCGCCAAAATTCCTTTACTGTATGGAAATAGTGCCTGTACAACGACTGCATAATTACAGTTACTTACATGGGCCTTGTCCCTTTCGCACAAAATATTAATAAATAAAGCATCATAGTTTTTTACAGCTTTGTCATAATCATCTGGTGGTGTGCAGATGTTTATACCTGCTTCGATTTCTAAGCATTTCAACGTTTGTCTCCCGTTCCTTTACAGATTCGAAGACTTTTCTTTGTTTTCTGTACATTTGTGTGCACGAAATACCTGAGAGTTGCAACTTGCTGTTTCTTGACGTTTGTGTGATGGTGATTTGGGTCTACGTGTTTCTTTTACCAACTTTTGCCCGGCTTTAAATCAATTTTGTGATAAGGTTGTATACTTGTTGCACAGCAATCTTGGTATCGAGAGGGGTGTCTATTTAACACCCGAGTGTTAGCGATGCGGGCAGGCAGGGGCAGCGTCGGACTACAGAGATTTGGGCTTCGAAATCCATTGTTGAGGAGACGATACTGACGAGGATTCACACTTTGGGGCCGTCCATAAACTACATAGGTACAAAGTACCGTCTTGAGTCCCCTTACCCCGGAAGAAACGCATTGTCTACCTGCATGCTGGAAATATGCAAATGAAGGCCAGTTGCATATGCACATTCCGGAGCATGGCAAATGTGTCACACTTGCTGGCTAGTTGAAGTAATACTTTCATTTTTGCGATGTTTTAGTATACAAGCAATGAATGATAAGTGGAATCGACCGTTTCTTCTGCCTCCTCATGCAATTATTCTTACCATTGCACGAATGCGAAACATTCATTAGTTATTTTACACAGCACCTGTATAAATCCTTTGCATTTGATTTTCTGCGCACAGCCTGATTATTTAACTAATTCAAACTGGAAGTTGCCAGTTGTGAATCTGTTAATTTTTCGACGTGATATTCCGAGCTCCTTTAATCGTTTGGCAGCATTTTATCTGCTTCCAAATGTTGGCAGTATCAGCATTACTTACAAAAAAGTTCTTATAATTATTTGGTAGAATTGTGAACGGCGGAGCTTGATCGCTCGTCATTTTGCCATAAAGAAACTTGCACCACTAGAAGCTGCAGTGCAATCGATCCGCAGGTGTCGGGTACCAGCTATGTGTTGGTAAAAATAATTCAATGCCATGTGATAAACGATTCACCAATCAAATGACGGGGATTTATGCAGGTGTTGTATAATCTCCGCTGTTAATTTCATGACAAAAGTAAATCATCGCTAACGTAGACCTATGCATGCGTTGGCTCTGACGCCCTCTCCCTGTGCGCAATGGCCGGACCACGCTTTGTTGACGACCCCCTCCCCACAACCTCCTTAAGCATGTGGACGGTAGCTTTGCTGGTTGGCTTCTGCGCATCTACATACTTTATAACGTACTCATATGGTAGGAGGCTGTTCCTGGTCTATGCACTGCCGTTCAAACTCCATAATAATCATTATTGTGGGAACCAGACGTTCCGTAAGCCTTCCATTTCCTTGTGCATATTAAGCTCGATTTCTATCGAGAACCACATTTAACCCGATTTTACAATTCAGAATGCGCTCCACCCAGGAAAGGTTAGTTCCTTGACTCGCTACTGCCCATAATAAATTGATATTGTTGGCTTTCATTTTGCCCATTTTATCCATCCATAATTTAAGTCCATCAACATGTGGTTGGTGGAGTATAAGAGTGCCAAAACACGTACGTCACTGTGGTTACCATGGCTGCAAAAACGATCAGGGATTTGTAGCCTCAACTAAGTAAGTGATATTTCACGAAGCCGTTGCGCAGAATTCCATTTTCCTCTCATGTGTCCTCTCATCCTGTATATTAAAAGAAAAAAACCTGCCTGTGCTTTCTGCAATGCATTACTTGATGTTTACAGTAGGTTTATATCAATAATGTGGAATATGGTGTTGTGTTCCTCAAGTAATGTTACATGATCGCATACTAGACTGATATTAATGCTTCAATCAGTGATGCAGATTCCGGGTGTTAAGATTTCCATTGATGGGGTTGGTTGGCCTATGCACTAATTCCTGTTCGGACATTCGTGCTAGGCCTCGATGTCTCCTGAACAGGGCCTATTCTCGACATATAACGACTGAATAAGGTCAATATAAAAATAACGACAAAGATGTCAATAAGTCTGCCCTATGTTATTTTCGGAATATTCATTTTTTTAAAAGAGTTTTGAATACTTCATTCAGGGTCAACACTATGCGTTTGTCCTCTTGTAATAGCTTGTAATAGGTAAGAGCTTGACTATTTTGTAAGTACAATACTTAATATAAAATTACTTTATTCAGCGACAAGGTTGTTGCTCGCGTTGAGATGGATTACTGGGTAAAGAAAGCCAAAGGATTTTGATAGTAAATAAAAAAACATTTTTTTTTCAAAAGCTCGGGGGGCAATTTGTAAGTTTATGTTTGAGGAAGAGTGATGAGTGTCTGATCTTCTCGTGCATTTTTTTCGCTCCAAGACATTTACACGATGCCACTCTATATAGTTACTTTGTCTGTTTAAAATCTGAAAATTGCAAGTTTATTCTGCTAAGCGCTTGGTAGACGACTGGTGTGTGATTAGCAAGATACATTTTGAACATTGAAAGGTTGCCGTTATTTTAGAGTGAAAATATCGCTAGTAAAAGGTATTTAGATGGTAAAACTAAAATTCTTGCTAAAAATTTTAAATAATTTTCATTCTGATTCAGGAAAATATCCTATTGTCTGTCAGTATGATTCAGGAAAATATCCTATTGTCTGTCAGTATGTACAGTGCACATCATGATCTTCCGTTTTTGCTCACGGAGCTGAGTAGAATTTTTAAGAGTGGACTGCCAACCGACGATCGACAGGCGACATTTCCCGGAATGTGATCCTCAAGGTGTCCGGTGTTCATAAATCGTTAATGCTTTAATTAACCAGTCTACGTGCTGGCTGAAAACGTCATCACACACTGCTTAGCGAGCACGGCCACGGGCATGATTCCCGGAGGATGGGGTACATTCCCCCTCCCCACTTTTTAAGGTGGGGTGGACTATTGAACCATCCCCCACTTTTTAGTGACGAGCAAAAAAATATAAGTGGATTGTGAAGAATTTTCAGGATTTCCCAACAACTAAAATGTTTTCAATATCACCATAAAGGGAAAGTAATTTTAAAAAGCCATAGGCCTAAATATATCATTCTGATGTAAGATTCTGTGTGAATTTGATACACATCACAGATATCTGTAATGTGTATCAAATTCATGCAGATGTAGATCTTTATCATGAACTTCGCCCTCTATATAGTGTACATGGTGGGGCCCTCTCCCCCGCTTTTCAAATTTCCATGGCCGGGCAAGTCATGCCCCCCCACCTTTCCCCATTCCCCCAATTTCCAACACAAATTTACGCCACTGAGCACGGCTGAGGTTGTCTTACCCTACAACGCAATGCTGCAACGTTCCTTGAACGCCGTCTGAAACGTTTCCATTTATTTTCCACTAACAAGGCTGGGACCTGTCCGAATTACTTGACTGCGGCTGTAAATCGCACATCATATAAGGTTTGTGCCGCAACTGGTATTCTGCTTCTTGGAGCCAGTGACACAGAGCGTCACCCCGTCAATAGTGCGAAATACTCGTAAGGATTTGATTTTATAATGCCCTGCCCATAAATATACTCGTGAGAACTAAACTTCATTCGGTCGTGAAAAAATGTCAATGCTTTGAAATTGCTGCGGTTCCTTTCTTATCAAAGTTGAAGTGCCTGATTTGTGATCTTCATCGCACAGTAATTGTTTCGTCTGTCTGAAAGAAAACCGTGCGTAACGAGAGTGCACTTTTTACGAGGGGTCCGTGTCACGGAAGCAGCCGGCGAGCAGGCTGTCATAATTTGGAACGGTGTGGAAGAGCTTATTAGAAAGGGCTTTTGCCAACGAAATCAACGTAATTTCAAACATTAAGATGGGAGATGAAATGTTAATTTTTTTCTGTATTAAAGAAGACATCTCTGTCACTGGAGGCATTACTATGGCTGATTGTATGCCCCGTTGTGACAATGAAGCACTAAATTACTGACCATCATTCCTGGCAAGGGAAGTTGGGAAATCTATTATATATCAGCCGGTCATCGCCAATTTTCTTCGCGTTTTCCATTAAATTTATTAATTTGGCTGCGTGAAGAAGATAAATGCAACCCACATCCGAAGTGGATTTTAAACACGTGGGCGGGGCGCGTCCAAAGTGAAGGAGTATAAAAGGGCACCAGGGAGGTGTACTAAAGAATTCTGTCCCGCTATTTTTTCACTAGTGGCAGTTTCTGTTCCTCGGCACAGTTATTCACGACATCACATTGGTTTTATCGAAAATCGTAGAAGTTTCTAGTTGTCACGGCATCTGTGTATTTCGTTAATTTGTGGAGTCCTTCCTATCAACTTTGCCAGTAGGCCTACTCCAGATACGGAAAATACAGGACTTTCTTCTGACATGTCCGCGCAAGCGCACTTACTACAGGTATGATGTGAGCCGCGGTAGGAGCAAGCTGTTGGACAGCATGACAAGATGTTGATTGCACACATTGATAATTATGTAAAACCCTTCGCGTTGAAATATTAATGACCTTTTGTTTGTACAAACAGCCAATTAGATGAGATAATGAAATAATAATAGTTGGATATTCAATTCATAGAAACTTCGTAATCTAGCCAAAGCTTTAAAGTAGAATCAAATGAAACGTTGATTAGCGGGTTTGCTTTTTATCATTTTTTATCATCTTTTTGGGGGGGTTCCTTGAAACGACTGTCAAATACTTATCCTGCCAAAGAATTCTAAACCCCCCATCAGTAGGTAGTACCGTCTTTAAGTTGCAAATGCTTTCAAATTCTAACAGAAAATAATTTAAAAATCAGTAACATATCTGCAAGGGGAAACTCCCCCAGCCGCGGATAACGACCACGAGTTTCATGCATCTTCCCTCCCTCTGCCCAGAAAACAGACAACATCGAACCTAAGTCATCAGATGGCTTAGGAGGAATGAAAGTGCCAATTAAGTCCTGGCATCCAGCCACAGAAAAAGGACATGTTTGTCAAGCTTATAAGGAGCATAACTATGACAACTGAGTACTGCCTCTTTATTGCAAAAAAGGTACTGAAATTTCAAATAGGGGCCTATGAGAACTTCACATTCTGTGCAATACCAACCCCTTCCCCTTTTTTAAACTGGATGTCCACCTTTTTATCGTAAATTTTGTATTTTTATTAATTTATTTTTTTTGCTTTTTGCTGTTTGTATTGTGTTTTTTAATAGACCTATCGGTTTGCCATTTATGTAACTGTCGATTGGAATACACTTCGTATCACCCCATGAACGGACAATAAACAGACAAAATGAGCGCATATAGGCGACACATAATTATGATCTATCAATTAACATGTTACTGAGAAAGACAAGCTAACCTAATTATTAATGTATGTGTATAACTCAAACATTAAATGGCGCTCGAACTATATTCACGAGAATGCTTTAATTTGTGACTGTATATAGAAATTTGACCGTATTTCATCAAGCCATTAGATAACATGGTATCGAGACTCCTATTCTTCTAGTTAACTCCCACGACTTTACTCCTTTCGTTCCTCTCTGTTTCTTTGTTTTCAATTTCTTTTCAAAATTTTTGCATAATTTCTTATTTGGTTTGCGATGCTTATCTTCGAAAGAGTACTCACTTTTTTCTCGTTCATAGTTTAAAGAACCTGTTTCGTAACTCCTTTATAGAATTATCAAAGTAAGCAGAGATCTGTAATAGTTGCGGAAGTAAATTTACCCATCTCTTAACATTATATATAAGGAGACTTTCCTTGGTAAGACATTGTCAGAGAAGATCCTTGTGGGGGTTTACACACGGATCCAGGACTAGAAAGCCTTTACCCTTAACAGCAATGTCAAAAACGACAACGTCAGCAACGATTGAAAAACAGCAACACTGACAACGACGACGACAGTACCAACGACGGTCCCGACAAAAACGTAATGTTGCTCTTTTCAAAAAAAAATTCTGTAGCTCGAAGAAAGATGGGAAAATGACAATGAGTCTTCAAACATGTTCCTTTAGTATCGATGTATTGATTGACTGCAACCAAGTAGGATAATCAAATTCACATAATTATTGTTAAAAAAAATTCACAAATTCATATTAATAATTACACTGCCTTTATCTTTCACCAAGGCAACGGTAGGCAGCGGATTATTTACGTACATTACTCGTTTCAGTAATAGAGTCATAGAGCAAAACATCAATAATCATTTTAATGTAAGGCCTCATCACAAAGCATTAAGCTGCTCATGAATATTTCCTAGCTTTAGACTATTTAGCCTCAGGCTTCATAATAAGGAATGAACCTGATGTTGGTTCGACTGTTCAGCGTGAGCTGAAAAGTGAGTTTAACGAGGCTACTTTACAATCACTCTCTTAAACTACTGATATTTCAATGCACGACTTTGCTGAAAAGCGTTTAACTCATTTGTTAAGTGCAGTTAAGTTATTTATCCTGAATATTTAAGGGAATTTAACTTAAATAAATGACGAAAACTGAACACTTGTCGCAAAACCCGACAAAGAGGATTAACCGTAGGGAAATATGAATAATTACACTGGACATTTACAAGGCCCAAGATAGAATAACAAAAAGAGGGTCTGGTATCACCAGTGTGGTGGCATAAATGAC